CTCCATGAGCGAGAACCAATCAGAATTGGATTTTTTTTTAGGCCACTTTCAGCCCAATCCTGGCCCAACCAAAAGTGAGTTGTCGTAACTCTGGGTATAAAGGGACTCTAATTATCGTTCGTTTGGGTGCACTCGTTTCGGCCTCCATGGCCAGCCAAGGCCGGCTGCCAGTCAGCTGATAATCGAGTTGTCTTAACTCTGGGTATAAAGGGACTCTAGTTGGGCGATGACTGTTGACTTCCACATTCAGCTGCTAAATTCAGCGTCTGATTGCGGCATGAGCCGACTCCCCCGGCCTCGGCCGGCCGGCCCATATACCCGATGTACCCGATCCCCCCCGAACCTCGACTCATCCATCGCCCGCTCCAAAAGTGAGGTTAAGCCGGAGATTGAAAAATAACACACAAGGCGGCTGAATTCTTGAAAAATAAGTATATTTTTGGCGTTTTTCGACGCCTTGCGACAAGGAAAGGCTCGCCGCATGTATTATGACGGTGAAAAATTCGATTTTTTGCAGTTATACGCGATCCTACGGATTTTAATGAAGTCCAACAACTGATAACAGCAGTGAGTTGCGAGGATCCTACGCGAGAATGCAGCACTAGTACCTGCTCACGAATTTTTACATTGACTCTTACGGGAGTCCAGGGTCCTATAGAACTGGTCCCTGACCTTAGATTGCACGGCAAAACCAGTACCCTCCTGACGTCACATCGCTTCAAGATGGCAGCCAAAATCGAAATGCGACCACATTCTTTATCCGCCTTGGTCATAAGTACAATTCTGAGTCGACCACGTGAATCTCCGGTCCGTACATGTTATAACAAGGAAAACTTTTCATTACATACTGTATTAGTGAATAACTTAGTCTTCTTAAACATCCGTCGTCCGTAGAATTGTTTTCTAAATTTTCCGGAGAAATTCATCGCGGTTGAAAGTCATGTTGAAAGGACTTGTTAGCCTCGTGACTGGTGGTGGATCTGGTCTTGGTAAAGCAACTGTAGAAAAACTAATCAAGGAAGGTGGGAAAGTGTCTATTTTAGATCTTCCGAAGTCTGGAGGAGATGGAGTTGCATCAGAGTTCGGTGGTGATGCCAAATTTTTCCCTGTTGATATCACCTCAGAAAGTGATGTATCATCAGCCTTAACCGATACCAAGAAACGTTTTGGAAAACTGGATGTGATCGTAAACTGTGCAGGCATTGCAAGAGCCAATAAAGTATACAATTTCAACAAAAATACCATGCACAAACTTGAGGACTTTGAGGATGTAGTTAAAACCAATGTTGTTGGAACTTTCAATGTTATTCGTCAGGGCGTAGGCGTCATTGGTGAGAATGAGCCGGATGAAGATGGATATCGCGGAGTTGTAATTAATGTTGCCAGCATAGCTGCCTTTGAAGGTCAAATAGGGCAAGCTGCTTACGCTGCCAGCAAAGGTGCTATTGTCAGTATGACATTGCCTCTTGCCAGAGATCTTGGAACTCATGGGATTCGCGTTTGCACAATAGCTCCGGGTCTGTTTGATACGCCGCTCCTACGTCATTTGCCAGATAAAGTAATTGCTTTCCTATCCAAACAGCATGTTTTTCCTCAAAGGTTAGGCAAAGGTTCTGAATTTGCTGATTTAGTTCAAGCTATAATTTTAAACAAAATGCTTAATGGTGAGGTGATTCGCCTGGACGGAGGTCTCAGAATGATGGCGGCATAGTGCCTCAACAATTCAAAGTCTTAGTTCTTTAGAATCGAAGCAAACATCAATATTGGACACTCAAGTGTATTATGAAAGTAAACGTAATCATATCCTTCAGTTTTGTATGATGAATGGAGCTCTTCCATGCACGAGGGATTTGGGTTTTAAGTAGTTATTCTTCTCTTACATTTTGCAAGTAACATGATGATTCCACTGGTTTTCTCTGAAAAACACCAAAGCTCTCTAAGGAATGGCCGCAGTGGAGGGGATATCCCACACTACCCTGAGTGTCCACCACTGTATTACGACAAACGCTATGCAATGATAGGGAGAAGATTCATTAGCAGGGTTGCCACTTGGTTTGGGGACTCCCAAACTGAAAACACGGCAACCCTACTAATGTATTTGCTCCTATTCTTTGATAGAAACTTTATCTTTACCTAGAGGTGGACTCTCGAGGTATCGTGGGGTACCCCTGCTACTTCAGCCTCAACTTAGAGAGTGTTTTAGCTCTTGGCCTGGATACACGCTAAAATTTCCGATCAAATGGTGACGGTTGCGCACCATCTACCATGAATTTTTTGTGGCCTGCAAAAATTTGATGGTAGTTGATGCCGCAATCACATGCTGAATGTGGCTTGAATGTGGAAGTCATCTGCCTGATGCCTGAATTTTGCGCGTGACGCGCAAAATTCAACAACCATCGGACTATTGTTGGATTTGTCTTAACTATTCGAGTACATTTGATACACATCTGAATGAAAATAACTCGAATTTGCGAAATTTCAGCTGTTGGGGGATGACTGTTGACTACCACATTCAACTGCTAAATTCAGCGTGTGATTGCGGCATGATGGAACTGTGGGTCTCATCCGTCATCTAATTTCCACACAGCTGTGCTTATTTCATGCTCATTTCAATCAACATGCTGTTTTAATTAATTTTACTCATCAATCCGTAAACTCTCGACCGCCATTTTTGTCATCATTTTTATTGGAAATTTGAGCGTGTATCCAGGCCCTTTGAATCAGATTTCAGAAAAAACCAGTGTCACCATTGTGCTTCTTGCAAAATTGTACATAGAATTCTGTCCAAACATCGCCAATTCCTGACACATGCAAGAGCTCTACTATTAAGTAGTTACTGCAGGGGTCAAGGTGCAATATAAAATGTTGGTCAAGGTACAGAAGAAGTATGTTTCTAGGTATAGAACAAATACTGGAAGATAGGGATTAAAGTAAATTCCCTGACACAGTTTGCTTTAAAAAGTTTTATTTGTTTTGAAAACCACCTCTGATTTTTCTTCTACCAAAGTGTCGGAGAAGGTCTGAAAATTGAAAAAATGAGGAGGGCAAAATTGTTAACAGAACCATTATCTTATTATTGGAGTGTCTCAATTTTTAAGAGTGAAGTAGCAGCATAGGTCGATGTGTGACCTATGAACCCACTATTCTCCTGTTAAATCAAGATTATATTTGGATATGTTTGTCCTTGGTGTGTAAAATGGCACCCTCCAAAGTTCGGAGTGCTCTACCAAAGAATTGCGCCCTCTTATGCGGTGTGGCCAAGTTATGTACCTTATACTAGTGCAACTGATGTGGCTAGATTTTGAGATCAATAAAAGGAAGGAATAAAAAGGCTCTTAGTTCATGAGTTAAAAAGAAGAACTAACTGCCTACATAAAACGGATGATCGCAAAGTATTGAAACCATGATCTCAGGAAGTCCAGTTGGGGAGAAGGAATGTAAAAAAAAAGTGGTGAAAAGGTCCTTTCACCCAACTCTTCTGGTCGGCTAAAAATTAATAGCAAGAACCGAAATTGCCTGTGAGGGGTTCAAAACGAACCGGTCCTATACAAATAAGAAAACAGTCCTTCTATCTAGAATCCTGCTCCTCTGACACTTACATAAAAAAAATTCCCAGGTGGTTCTCCGAAAACTTACTATACTTTTAATAATGAAAAAACTTTTCGAAACGAACCGTGACTTGGAATTTGCAGTGACCTGTAAATGTTTTCTTGGTTGAAAGTCAGAGTAATTAGTATTCTCTCAGGGCTGAGATCATGCACCTCTGCTTTTTCAAGGTATTCTTATTGTATGGAGAGTCCACCCCAAATAAGTTTCTGTACTTCTAGATTGCGACAGAAGATCGGCTGACGTCACATTTAAATGTAAAGAAAATTGAAGGATGGAGGATCATCTGTGGCTGTCTAAAAGTGCACAAACCAATATAGCGTGGACTCTAGCACTCTCCAGAGGATACCTGCTTGCATTATTTCCTTAACATATTTGCTCTTTATCTTCTATTCTCACATCTGAGGAGCATAATATTATTTATTGTCCATTTTTGCTTCTTTTGAGCATGGTCCCACTTACGTCTTGATTTTATACTTGCTTGTTCTCTTTGTTTTGTTAAGAAAAGAACCGTTGTGAAATCAGTGAAGCTTGTGTCAAACTTCATCTTTAGAAAAGATTAAATGTTATCCTAGGTCCAATTTTGTTATTTATCAAATTATTAAAATCGATCAGTGCCACACGCACAAACTGCCAGATGAACACAGCTTTGCATAATTTACTTCCATTTTTCCCAACCGCGGTGTCAATGCTGCTGTGATAGCGAAGAGAACCGTAAGTGCAAAATTTTCGAAATCGAGTTTTCTTCAATATTCGTCTAAACTCTTTTAGATGAAATTACTGAGACAGCGAAAACAGCAAAATTCATCTAATTTAATGAAAACGAGACGTATGAGAAAGCCGTAAGTGCACAAAAAATGACTATAGTTTTTTCAAGACAGCCGTAGATGCATGAGAGCCAATGAAAACAGTGCTTTCCAGTAAAGTGCCGGCTGTGCCGCCCTCTTCTGCCAATTTCTAACCTGTAAATGTGTTTGTTGTGCGTCCAAAACGCAACCACGAAAGCATGCAGATGATAGCACTTACGGCTGTCTTGCCTAACAATAACCTAACACGAAACTGAATTTTACTTTTTTCATGTACTTTAAAATATAATCGGTCGAGTTTTAATCCCCTAAATGATTTCTAGGAATCTTCTGGACGAATAGTGGCAATTTGACACAGGGCCGGATCTACGTTTCACGTTGGGGGGTGCAAGCCCAGATTTTGGCGCCCCCCCCCCACGCCGGGGGGTCTGGGGGTTATGGAATACCCCCCAGGAAAGCGGGGGGTCCGGGAGCCCCCCCGGAAAATTTTTGAAAATTACAGTGTGCCAGACGGCCGTTTTCCGTAGTTTTTGGCGAAAAATTGATTTTCAAAGAGCGGTGTACACGCATATAAAAATACGCATAAAGTCGCATTCCTCAATACATTCTTTATGTGTGCTTTCTATAAAGCACTGACAGATACGTACTTACACTTCACATTTTATGAATGAATATTGGGTGTACCAAAGGCAAAGAACATTGACCAAAGGGTAGGTTGAAGCTCCAGCGAATGAAGGAGGTAAGTATAAGTAACATTTTTGTGATTTTTAGAAAGACGATTTTAATGTTGAAAAGTTACGTGGGGTCTTGCAGCAAAAAAAATTATTTAAAATGGTATTTTGAGATGAGATTTGTTCAAAATCACCGCTACAGGTATTTTAATTTTTCAGTAATCTCACTCACTCCCTTCATTCACTGGTAGAGTCCCACTGGAAGCTTTTTCAACTGTGAAATTGTATCATAGGGAAAGGCTTTTTTGAGGGTTAGTTGTTAAACAGAGTACAACAAAAACAAGAGAAAGAAAAGGATAAGTAGGTTTTAATTAATCCCATTAGTGGAACGTGCCTATAACATGTTTTGAAATTGTACTTTTCGTGCCTTTTTTTCTGAAAAAATGTCAATTACTGAATCAAAATTAACCGTGCGTAGGCAACTACACTTTCAATTGATAGAATGGCCAGATTTGTCAATCTTTCCTGCAACATGGTCGACCGCAAATAATTTTTGATGAGCTTTAATTTACTAAAACTGCGTTCACAGCTAGCGGAGGTTGTCGGTAAAGTGCAATACAAACAATGCAATACAATTCTCTCCCTCCCTCCCCTCTCCCTCTCACTCTCTCTAAAAAAAGTCATTGCCGTTTTGGCGCCCCCCTCCCCCTAAAGTGGCGCCTCGTCTTCTTTCATAGCCTAAGTTTACAGTCATCACTCATTGTTATTTTAATTTCGTTCTTTCCTTAAATCTAGCGCCTTTTTCACCCCCGAGTTAGCCTCGTTAACCCATCGGAATTCATTTAACGATTCCGCGTGCATTAAAAATATTGGAATTTTCAATCCATACCTTTAACCTTGACGCCTTATGCTCAGTGCTGACTTTAACTTCAGCTTTCAGGTGCTCTTCAGAAGATATGAAAACTGACAAAGGACCCCGCACACCTCTTATGGGAAGCTGCACCACGAAGAATTGCCTTCTGACTTATGTATTTCGATTCTCCTCAAGATGCTGATCAAAACTTATAATTGCGCCAACTTTCTATGATGCACCGTTTTCGCAAAAAACCTAGGAAAAGATTCAATTATTCGGTGATAAAAAGCCAGAAAGATTCCTCATTTCAGTGCTCGATTGACAGGCGGCTGTGTGTCAACAAGGAAATCATGGGGACTCCCGCACCGAGCGGCAGTCTTATCTCGGATTCCGCACGCCGTTTTGCTCGACCACCATCCAAATCAGATTCTTGAGGGAGGGAGATAGTCCCTGGGTCGGCAGGTACAGATAAGAAGACGCACAGCTAGTCTTAACGACTTTAAATTTTTTGACGAGTCACAAGCAAAAACTCTTCAGATTCTTGAAGTAGAGTGTCTACTGAGTCATTTAAGCCAAAAAGAAAAAAATTCTGTCGAGCTCCTGGAAAATAAAGTCGATTTAAAGGTATTTTTGGGCTAAAATAGCCAAATTACCCATAGCAAGGCCCGTCATATTATTTAAAAACTTGTTTTCTTCCTGGGTATAATGCCCAAGTTTCTTAAACATGCATATTTTAAGCCTCCGATTACTTAAACTTAACTACTAGACGGACACATGCTACATTTTTTCCTTATTCACATCGGGCCTGTTCTCAAATGCTTTGTTCTTTTTTATTCATAGTCGCCGAATAATTGAATCTTCTCATAGGTTTTTTTGCGAAAACGGTGCATCGTAGAAAGTTGGCGCAATTATAACTTTTGATCAGCATCTTGAGGAGAATCGAAATATATAAGTCAGAAGGCAATTCTTCGTGGTGCAGCTTCCCATAAGAGGTGTGCGGGGTCCTTTCGCCCCTTTTTTCTAATGTTATTCCTGTTTCGAGCTTTGTGGCGATTAGGCGTCGTAAAGCGCCAAAGAGCGCTATAAAAGCGACTCATATGTATGTATTCCTGTTTCGATATTCATAACCTCCCTCTCCTCTTCCCCTTCTCTTCCCCTTCTCACCCTCCCTCCCTCTCTCCTCCTTTCTAAAAAAAAGTCTTTGCCATTTTGGCGCCCCCTTCCTGAAGTGGCGCCGGGGCACGTGCACCCACTTGCCCCCCCCCCCCGATCCGGCCCTGATTTGACAAAGAACGGAGGCTTCTTTCAATAAAATGTTCCGGTCACAAGCTTCTGAGCCCGTTTTCTCAGAACTTCATTTTTGCAGTTACGGCTCTCTTCGCTATCACGGCAGAATGGTTTGTCACGTCTCCATGTGCGTCTGGTAAGGGAGAGTGGGGTTATTTGAGCCAGTTTTAGGAAAACGTTCCTAAATCTTATTTAAAAGATAAATTTGGTCTGACTTCATGATTTAATACGATCAAGTATACTCTTAGCTGTTTAATTTATGCCGGAATAAATATTTTTTGCTTAAAGTAAAGTCAAGATCTGCATTAGAGCAGGATAACCTTTTTGGCTCCCGCCCAGGGGGTTAACTGTGTCACCTATTGTAAATCATTCTGAATATATTTTAATCAACTTAAAATAGATATTTGTCAAACCTGTATGAGAGATATATTTAAATGTTTCAATGCTGCACTATAAAAAAAGTAAGTGTATAAAGCGTCCAGCCCACCTACGAACTAGGGGCCTCAAAGAGGTTCATCGATGGAAGTGTTAACCAAGATCCATCCATATAGGTCAGTCAGTGCGCAGATTTCCCCGCTCGGGGTAAGCCCCTTTCCATTGGCTCGTGACGTCAGCATTACTGCCGCGAAAACCAGAAAAGTCGGAAACAATGTTTTTCTTATGGGAGAAGGCAACTCTTTCTTAACGAGTCATTTAAATTTCTTACTTTTAAATCCTTTGAAACTTTCTGAGTGTCGAAAGAAACGTTTAGACATTAGCATTCAGAGTTTCGATTTTGCCGAATTTGTATTCTTTCATATTTACAGTTTACTCTGCATCAGCCATTTTTACACGCGAATCTATACCGCTAGATGGCTTGTTACATCGCTGACTTCAAAAATCATTTAAAAATATAAAAACGCAAATTCAGCTGAATTTAAACCCTGAACGCTAATGTCTAAACGTTCTTTTCGACACTCAGAAAGTTTCAAAGGATTTAAAAGTAAGAAATTTAAATGATTCATTAAGAAAAATTTGCTCTGTCCCATAAGGAAAGCATTGTTTCCGACAGTTCCGGTTTTCGCGGTAGTAATGCTGACGTCATGCGCAGAAAATTCTCATTTCGGTTTCGGGAATGACTGACCTATATGGATGGATCTTGACTGTTAACTGTTGCCTTTCTATAGCGTCCAGCCCACCTAAGGGCTGGACACACGTTCAAAGTGGAGCTTCAAAGTGGTAAACGTTTAGCCAAGAGTTGACTGGTGACGTGGCCCTTGATGTGTTCACTTTGTAGCGGTGTTTACACGACTTTGAAGACTTAACCCTAAAATTTCATTGAAACAAACATTAAAAGTAAACAAAGATCGTGCTGAAGCAGTTTGATTTTATTAAAATGGATATAGACCGTGATAATTTTGTTAAAAAAGCTGTAGTGGTTGACAAGTTTCAGAGCCGAAACAACAGGACCTTTTGCGATGACCTGATTTACTTTGGAATCAGCAGGATTTGTACCTTGTGCGATAACCTGTCCTGGTGATGGATTGGTTGTTGCAGGAGCAAGTGAGGCTGGGTTTTCAACTAGGTTGACAATTTTCAGAGTCGAAACGGCAGGACCTTTTGCGATGACCTGATTAAATTCCATAATTTTTCACTACGCAGACGCACTTAAATTATTATTGTAATAGCCGCGCGCTTGGAGAGGTTAGATGGACGTTGAGATCCGCAGAGCATCGATGACCTTCAAAGGAGAGCGGGCCGCTCTCCTTTGAAGGTCATCAATCAACACTTGACTAAACGTTTACCACTTTGAAGCTCCTCTTTGAACGTGTGTCCAGCCCTCTACAAACTAGGGGCTTCAAAGAGGCTCATCGATGAAACTGTTGACTGTTGCCTTTCAAAGATCGTCGGGCCGACGATCTTTGAGGCTAACCGATGTGTTCGGGATACATCACAGATCAGATCTTGAAATTTTCAAGGCATTCCGTGCAGAAATGGCTGAGAAATAGAAGAATTAGTGCCAGTTTGAGAGCCCCAGTTTGTACG